TGAACTACCTATTTCCATGTTCGGTAGTAAATACTGTTTTTTCTAGATCATCAGGGTATATGTAGTTCCTGGGAAAAGATAGTTGTCTGTCTTCATAATGTTTTTCAACCGGTAATAGTCAAAGCAAAATCTAGTTCAACTGTCTTTTCCTGAGCAGGACAATGGAAGAAGTCCAAGTATTTGCTAAAGGCTCAATAACATCAGTTTCTTGCATGTCCTTTAAAAGTTTTCCTACTTTTTCCTGTTTAGCAATCAGTAGATTTCCTAGATGTTACTTGATTGATGAATGATGCCCATATATCAGTTTTATACTGTGCCAAACTGGTTCGATTTATGCCACATAATGTGTAGAAGAAAACATTTTGAAATTCTTAAATGACACACTCTGCAGCACTCATCTCTTTACTGCTTAGTTGTGTATTCTGCAGTAACTCTGATATTAGGCTCAGCAATTGGAGGACTGCTGGTTTGTTTAATGCTGGGCACTGGAGTACAGGCTGTAACGCTATGTTTTTACTGATGACTTTTACCATATCACTTATGTTTTACAACTCTCACCAGAGCAATGGCCTCTGACAGTTTATATCAATATCAAGGGTGCTAGTAATCCTTTTGGCCTGTTTCAGTTTTTAGGATATTTCATTATGCTGTCCCAGAAATTTCGGTTTTCAGCTATGATTTGGGTAGTAAAAATTTTGTTCTTGCTGGTACTATGCTATTGTCTTGAGCTGTTATTTGGTGGACAGATTTAACTCATTGATTTCAAACAGGGTTGTGTCCTGAATGACAAAATGCAGTTCATTGTTTTTAAAGCCTAAGAAAAAATAGTATTTTTTCAGAAATTCTGAGTATGCAAGGGTCTGCTACATATATCATGTAAGGTAGGCGGGACTTCTCAAGTATAATGTTAACAATCATCTTTCTGTCAATGCTGATATTATCACCAGGCACAGTCTGTAGAGTAATGCAAGGCAACGTCCACATCGGTGTAGCTTCCAGCTATTGAGCCAGATCTTGTCAAATTGTGGTTAACATTGGCTTCTGTATCCATAGTCATAATGCAAAGAATTCTATTTATATATCCCATGAGGAATAGTCCATTACTGCTGCCACTCATTGTAGTAATCTGAAGTGCTTTAAAATGGAGCTTCTCAATATCTGGCAATTTCTGGCCTGGTTAAATCATCTGGATGAGTAATCACTTGATTCACTAGCTTCTGGACATGAACAGTTGGGATTAGGTGGCTGTCCTTATGAATTGTCTGCTGGATTGCCTCGAATAAAGTGCTTTTTAGATCCTTGACATTCGCCATTCACAGGGCATTGGGTTTAGGATCCTGGATATCATCAATGATGTACTGCAGGGTCAAGATTTCGTTTATTTCTGTTGGGCAGTCTAAAATGATGAGACAGCCTTTCATTATTAGCGGTGAGCTCCTAGAGTATTCCGTGGTTCTCTGTTGGCAAGACTTTAACTGAAGTCTGACATTATAAAAGTTCATGTGACATTATACAAGAGGTACTACAATTTACATGTAATATCAAGAAAATTATTTACATATATTCAAAATTCGTAGCAATATCAAACATAAATCTTTCTTGGAATCAAGATTTTTTGTTTACAATAAAAGTAAAAATATACCACTTGTGCTTTGGTAATTTTGGCAACATTTAAATTTAATTAGGCGAAAACTAGAAAACTTCATGGCAACCTCCAAAAAATTAAAAAATTGCAGTCATGCAAATATGCTGCTGAAAATAATTAAGGATATTGAGGTTGTTATAATTAAGGATATTGAGGTGTCCATTAACATGAAGTCATCTCCAATTGCTGCAGCGTAAAGGACAATGTTAGGTCTGAGGATCTCATCTCTATATCGGCAACCGATAACAGCTTCATTTCAGATGATGTGGAGATCAGTGTGCCCATCAAGGTAGATGCCAGCATAGACCATCACTCATAGCCAAATCTGAAACTTCTATGCACAAAAACAGGATTGTTTCTTGTGTTTTGTTCCCTTCAGATAAAAATATGTCTATTATCAGGATGAACAGAAAAGTGGGGCTCGTCAGAGAATAGAATATTATGTGATTCATTTCTCTTCCAGTTCACATGCTCTGTTGCCCACTTCCTGTGGGCACAACAGTGCCTTGCTCTTAGCATAACACATACCATTGGTCGGCGAGCATTTAAACCTACAGCATGTAGCCAGTTTTGGACAGTTTGAGTCAAAATTGTGTCAGTAGCCGAGCAAAGATGTCATATTTCAGTGTCTCCGAGCTGTTAGCATTAACTATCAATCTTGGGCATCGTTGCATGTTTATGACCTTATCCTGGTCTTCGGCCTGCATTTCCAGTCTCCTAAAAATGGTTCCAGATCCTGAAAATCACATTTTGTGAAACTGCAGTGGCTTCTGCTACTTCGGCTTGTGTTTGGCCCTATCTAACCAACCAATTGCAGGTATGTGTTATGCTCCAACTTCTGAACTGGTTAAATAACTTCATTGAGGCATAGCACTCAACGAAATATTGCGCTTACTGAATGTCGATTGTTCTTTTCCACTTTGTCTTTCATTAAGTTGAAAGCCAAATTTCATTCACTTCAGGTAAAGCTTCGTTTTTAATTGCAAACCAAAAATTTGCATGACCTGAAGTTTGAAAATGAGAATAATTTGCATTTAGGACTCTCCATTGTCTGCAAAAAATTTTGCTTATACTGTTTTATATAAGACTTACTATATCCTTTAATTGGTTTGAGCAGTGTATATAATATATGTAACATATAACTTACATAATCAAGGCTGTGTGCAATTCTGCAATGCTCTGATATTTTCTTATACAAAAACAGATTGCTGTGCATGAGAAGAATGAAGTACAATTTTTCATTACGTATTTTTTTATGGCCACATAAATATTAAAAAAACAATTAGAAGTATAATTTAAAATACAAATTTGAACTGTTAATTAAGGATTATAGGATACATTCAACATTATACAATTATCAAGGCAGAAGAGACATCAAAATAAAACATAAAATTAGACAAAATAAGACCTTTATGTGTGGCGTAGATTTTTTAGACTACACAGAAGTAAAATCTATGCCAAACATAAGGTTGCTGCTATGCCTAATTGTATGTTATACATAATATTACTGTTGTCTTCCCTGTGTGCACAATGATCTGTTATTGCTTAAAAAAATTGGAGAATTGCACAAATTCAGCATCATGTACACACCTTCACCATTGCACTATAGTCTAGTGACTTATCTTCCAATTTTGGTGACTGTCCAGGGTGGCCACCTTTATAAGGAAATGCTAAATTTGAAGTAAAATAACATGCCAAATAATAATCATTAGATGAGTTAAAGCAACAAGAGTCAGCACAATATTCAGAAATTTGTGGAAGAAGTTTTGAAGATTTAATGTAGAATCTTCCTCTATACCTGTAACTAAATACTTTTGTAAGTAAAGAAAATTTAAAAAAAAAAAAAAGAAAGAAGAAAATTAAATTTAAATTTTTTTGTAAATACCAATAATTTATCTAACATACAAGTTAGTGTGATTATATATCTATAAAATTTTTTATCTTATTTGGATATTAATATATATTTCATTATTTTGATTTTCTGCTGCTTATATTATTTTGCATTTCAAAAACAAATGTAAAAACAAATATTGGAGTTTGCAAAATTGGAATTCTCTTTGAATTGAGTTTTGTTTTGATTCAATAATAAACATTTAGTTTTATGAATTGGCAACAGGATTTCTTAAGTTAATACAGTCAAAAGTCGTTAATTCGGACACCCATAATACGGAAGGATCTATAATCCAGACCTCAAAGCTACAAACATTTACGGCTGCGAATATGCGTGTGCGCATGCGCATAATACGTTTACGCATGCACGTTTAATGTATAACGGACGGTATAAGCTAAGCTAAAATTATCTAATTCAGTTAATGTTGCGATTGCGTTGTTCCTTAATCTTCAAATTGGATCCAGCTTATTATTTTTTGCAGACGTTAGAGCAATTTTATAAAAGTAATCTTGAACTTTCGATTATGTCAAATAGAATTTCCAATATATATTTACTAATATGTAAAGGATCTACCTAGCGAAAATATGTTTCAAAGTCCATTAAACAAAAAGTGGAATTGCTGCAAAAAATGAATAAAGGCACATCCTTTGTTTCTCTAACCATTTCGAAACCTGTTTATCAATTTCACACTGCTCTGCGGCGATGGGGGGGAGGGGGAAACGTTGCGCGCACAATGAATTGGTTGATCTGTCAGCGCTATCCTTATCTTCAGGACAGATGTTTTTATTTTATTTGGCTTATAATTCCTTACTAAATGTAGAATTTCATCCGATGTCCTGTCTTTGATATGATTTAAATCAAATTTCCTCGTCATTATAATTCGCTCCAATAGTGAAGAGGTTTTGAAAACGAAGAATTTCGATTGACATTAGTCGGTATTTTCGACACAGCAATTATATGACTTGAAACAGCGGAACTTTGTAACTTAAGAAGAAATTATGTCTGTTTATAGAATTAAAGAGAAAGTATTATCACATAAAACAAAGCAACTTAACACTTACATTGAAAGAAATGTTTAAATAAAGTAAATAAATAAATATTAAGCTTTTTTTTTTTTTTTTTTTTGTAAATTTTGATACCCTTTAGATCATTATTGTTCTTTATTTCATAAATTACGTTCATATTTTTAATTTTAATAATTTTCTGCATGCCATCTGACCAGATTTAAATGATGATCTATAATCCGGAAAATCGATAATCCGGAAATCGCCTAAGTCCTGACGACTTTTGACTGTATTTATATAATTTTTTAAAATTATTTAATATTAACTCTTCTTTAAAGATGGACATGTGATCTGCAATTTTCAGATTGCAAATTGATATTATCTTGAATATATGTATAGTTAATAATAACACAGTCCTCCTTTCAAGTTAGACTGGTATTTGATGTGTATTCTTTTGCAGACCACATGAAGCAATCATCCCCCGAGAACCACCGATTGTTCAAGAGATTACATCCGTTATTCGAGAATGGGGTTCCATATGGAAGCAGCTTTATGTTGTAAGATATTTTTATTCCATTAAATCTGAATTAAGCTTTTAGGTAAAATGACCAGATGTCTCACATTTCAGTTTTTGCCCTCTGCATTGAAAACTGATCTACAGAGCGTCCCACATTAGTTTTTTAAATTTTCAGTAGTAAGAGAAAATACAAAAACAAAGAAATGTAAAAAAGTCAGCATATCAACAAGCTTTTTAATGCTCCAGTGTCTGACTGCTTCAGAGACTCCCTACAATGCTCGGCGTATTGTAATATGGGTCTTATTCATTTATGTGTTGTTTGCGCTGTTAAGAAGTGGAGATGAAGACTCACCAAATATTCATGTCCAATAGCAAGCTCGAGTTATGAAACTGGTCGTGTATGAGATTTATCTACTATTTTTAAATAAAAAATGATTTTCCACCTCTTTTAGAAGACATGTTACCAGACAGCTATTCATTCAATCTAATTTCCATGCAATTAGTAATATAAAGATTTGCAGAATGGTAAAAGCTATCTGTGTTCAACAGCTGTTTTATCCTCGTGTTTCTGTGTGTTAGTATATTGAGGTTAATTATTGCAATGAAAAATGCAATATGTAGAACTTCCCTCTGGTCTTCAGTTGCTCAAAATGAAATTTTCATTTGTGAATATCTTTAGAGACCAAGACTTAACTTGATCCCGATAGCTTTATTAGTCAACCTTAGAATCTGATGATATGACCACTTTGTTGGGGCAATAATGGGTGATAAAAGCTCCTTTAATATCACACAGATAGTGATGACCACTCTGTTAGTCACCATTGGAATGCAATGTAAACTAATGTAATCAATATTAGTTTCATGCAGGATTTCCCACTTGAGGTAATGTCTTGAATGATGTCCCATATTTCATGAATATTTCTGAACCTTGTAAATTTAATTGATGTGAATTTTATTAAAATAAATCATTTAAAATTCAATATGAAGCTGTTTTTCTAGAATTAAATATGTTCAATAATCAAATAATTGTGCTTTCTCCATAAGGATTTATACAGAAACGACATTTAAAAAAAAACGGTTTTTGAATTCAATATCCTCCCCCCCCCAAAAGTTTTAACTTGTTTCAGAAAAAGGAAAGAAAAAAGGGGAAAATATTTAATTTAATTTATATACATATATATACTACTTACACAAAATAACGAAATCAATATCAAAGTCAAAATATTAAAAAAATTAAGCATTACATATACATTCAGGGTTCCACACAGAAAATTCTAGAATGTTCCAATTAAGGAAAGAGAAAAAGCTTCACATCATCTATTAATAAAAAGTTTAACTTAAAAGCTTAAAGTAAAGATAGATTAGAATTTGGATTGTTAATTAAAACAGAAAGGTTTTTATGGATGTGAAATGCTTACGGTCTCTCTCAGATAAGAACTCCACAAACTACATCCCTCAAGAATTCCAAGTCCCACCCACTACCATAAATTTCTTCACCCAAGGTCTTACCGACTGATATAATTCAAAGCCCCTACTGCCGCTAAGAATTTTCGGACACCCTACACTTCTGAGTCAGACACGAAGAGAACACATTGCCAACTCCCCCACTAGAAAGAATGTAAGTTACTTAATACCTTTCTGGCCTTTATATCTTCATGTACATTCACTGATCTTATTTATTTATTTTCTATATTATTTTATATTATTTTTATGTTCTCTTTGATTTGTTTTTACAAAGTTTGCATTATTTATCTTTTTTTATAATCTTCTATGTTTATTTCAACTTTACTTTGATTTCGATTTCATAATGACAATTTCCAATGTTTAATTTCTACAAATAATATAGGTACTCAAATACATAAACATGATAGTGTCGGGGACGATTACTCTCGAGTTTTACAATAGGATTTCTCTACAGTAATTGATTTTTACTCTCCAAATTGAATTGACTAAAATGCTTCATAAGAATAAGTTCTTTGAGTAACATAATTCCTTCTATTCGCGGAAATATTTGGCCTGACTAGAATTGCCGGTTTGGCTTTAACTTATAACTCGAGTAAAGACGAAACACTTTCATATTTACGTATTTTTATCAATTATTGATTCATTGAACGGGAGTTGGTTTGTTCCCCTTGAAAAGTCAACTAATTTCCGATCAATGACAATGAATTACATGTTTTAATTTTTACTTTTACAATTGTAAATTTATTCTTCGTGATGATTTAACTCCAGTCCCCGTTAAAACATTATTAACATTTTGCTTTCAAATTACTTCAAAACATCTTTCAAAATATAACTTACCAGTATGGATGCACACTTTTAAAATAATTCTACTTTAATTAAACTTAGGAGATAATATAATCAATTAAACAATACTGTTTAGGAAATAAATTATTATATATATATATATTTTCCCCAAAGACTGTGTTGGGTGGGCAACAATGGATTGATGTGTTTTTCTTTCATTTAACATGCTATATCTCATGTTCCTTAGTCTAAAATTTTAAGGCTGTCTTCGTTCAGTGTATGTTAAATGACACTACTGCAAGAACTACTGTACATAAACTAAGAATTCATATCAGAATAAGGTCTTTAAGGATAAAACTGCACATTCCGTTTTCAGAAGAAAGAATAATGCAAAAGTTCAAATACATGCTAATGTGAGTGATACAAAACTAATGTGAAAATATATACAGGTTTTATAGCTAATTAATGGGAAGAAAGGAATCACTATGGAATTCTTACAACCTCTTAAAACAAAAGAGTGCTTTTTATTGTGTTGAGATGAAAATTTTTAAACTGAATAGCAAATAATATTAGCTGAAAAGCCTTTTATCGGTAGTAACTGCTCTTAAGTAGGTTAGTTCTTGATCGAGAGCTGACTTGGAGAAGAAAACTCAGTGTCCTCTGAAAATGAAAAAGTAAAAAGAAATCAACTTCCGTGTAGCAGAATGACATGATTTGAAGATGTTAGAAGGTTACACAAAGATATGAAGGCTAATGATACATGGTAGTACTGAAATTGGATATATTTCATGTGCCTAAGATGTCGAGGAACAGAAAACAATTGGATGTCTCAAGTTCAAAAGTAAATTGAATAGCAGGATCAGTCGGATTCGTTATAGAGAGAACTTTATTTTAATCATCTTTATTACCGTCAAACAGAGAAAATATAGCATCATTATAGAGAACTAAACTTTTCTTTTCTTTCTTTCCACCAACAGCGAGGCAGCCGGTCCACTGGGTAGTTAGCATATCGACCAGGTAGCCCATTGACGGAAATAACTTTATCAACATAACACACTTATATATACATATTGTGCTCAAGACGAGTGCTGGAGGCAGTGCAAACAAATGCTGGATGAGACGGTAGTGCAGTGATGGAAGAAGGGTGCATTGCGGGTGAGAAGAACAATTTCAGTTACATATTTACAGAGTTATGGATAGGTGGTTACAAAAGACATTCACAACGTGAACAATAATGAGTCAGTGCAATATAGAGCAATTAACAAGTGACTGATAAACAGTAATGTAATATCTAAAATAGGCTAATAATAAATAGCAATACTAAATATAAGAAGTAAATACTAAAAAGCGAAGGTTCATAAGTCAGGTTTACAGTTCGAGGTGATAAGTATATACAGGGAATAAGAAAAGCCGAATAAGCTAACTTAAGATAAAATTAGTTCATTACAGTACAGAGCATAGGGGGGGCTGGCTGGACGAGGATGGCAGCTGAGAATTACTTCCAGCCTGTCTGAGATTTTGCATGCAATATTTATGCAATCGCATATGCGTTTCAATGCATTGCGATTTTTTGAAGTAGCTTCGGCCCACGCATGGATGTGGTTTGCTACTGGTTGCCTAAGACGATGTTTGGCGGTCTCTCTGCAAGTGAACAGATAGTGGATCTCCTGCCATTTCCTACCATCGCCACATGAGCAATGGTCGTTTGCACGTCGTCTGAAGCGATGCAAGGTAAGTCATGAAGGGACCATGTCTGTTAGAAACTGAGTGAAGTGAGAACGAGCCACTTTTTAGAAGCCGGCAGACTTTTGGTAAAAAATCTGTGAACTCTTCTGCCGATGGTCTCTGTCTCCCACAGATGTTGCCAACGTTTGAGTAATTCTCCTCTCGAGCTCAGCTTTTAAGAACGAGCCCGGGAGAGGCACATCAAGTGTGCAAACGTGGGGGTCAGTTGCTGCTCTTTTGGCTATTGCATATGCAATTTCATTACCCCCACTGAAGTTCAGGCCTATAGTATTTTGGTGTTCTTAGTAAGAGTTTTTGTATCGCCCTGACGAGTGGATTTTTACTACATGTGCCTTGGATTGCCTGGAGGCTAGAGGCTGAGTCTAAATATACGAGGGCTATCCAGAAAGTAGATTACGTTTTGGAATAAAAAAAATAAACAAAGTATAGGAAAAAATTTATTATATACAGATGAAAGCCACACTCAAATACTACTTTTCTACATAGTCACCATACAAATTAAGGCATTTATCGTAGCGATGTACGAGCTTGGAAATTCCTTCGTCGAAAAATTCGGCCCGCCTGCGCCTTCAACCACTTCGTTACCTCTTCTTCTGCAGCTGTGCGTCGTCATCAAAACGCTGCATAGCCAGCCACTTCTTCATTGCTGGGAATAGGTGGAAGTCGCTCGGTGCCAGGTCGGGACTGTACGGCGGATGAGGAAACAACTCCCACTTAAAGATTCAAGAACTTTACGAGTGACATTTGCCGTGTGGGGCCGGGCGTTGTCGTGAATCAACAAGATCTTAGAGCTCAACATTCCTCTGCGCTTGTTTTGAATTGCTCTTCTGAGTTTTGGAGAGTTTTGGCAATACCTTTGAGAGTTTATTGTAGTGCCTCTTTCCAGGAAGTCCACCAAAATTACAACCTTTTCGTCCCCAAAAACAGTCCCATCATCTTCCTTGCCGACATTGTTGCAGCATTTCTTGGGTTTTTGGGGAGAACTTGTGTGCCCCCACTGCATTGATTGCAATTTCGTTTCACAGTTCACATGTTTCACCCATGTTTCGTCACCAGTAACGATGCGATCGAGTAAAGAGTCACCATCCTTATGGTAAGCGTCCAAAAGTTCAACGCTGCAGCCATTCGCTGATTTTTGTGGTCCTCTGTCAAGATTTTTGGAATCCATCTTGCACAAAACTTGTGGTAACCAAGCTTTTCGCTGATGATTTCGTGCAACAAACTTCGCGAAATTTGTGGAAAACTCAAAGAAAGTTCCGTTTTTGAAATTTCAATTTTCACGGACTTTAGCATCGACTTTTTCGAGAAGTTCGGCGGTCACTATGCTGGGTCTCCCACTTCGATCTTCGTCGTGAACATTGGTTCGGCCATTTTGAATCTTATGACCCACTGACGCACTCCACCTTCAGTGATATGTTGTCCCCATACACTTCACGAAGCTGCCGATAGATTTCTATCGGTTTACAGTTTTTGCAGTCAGAAACCGTATTACTGAGCGCACCTCGCAGCTCGCGGGATTTTCAATTAACGCAGACATTTCAAACCGTCACAGTATCTGAATGGAGCACAGCACGAACCTCTCACTAGCACGGCTAGATGCAGACTGAGCTGCGCAACGCTCTGACCCCAAGATGGCCGCGCTAGCCCCGCCCCTAGCGGACACAGACGGAAACGTAATCTACTTCCTGGATGGCCCTCGTATACTGGAATAGTTATTTTCCTGTGCGTAGACAAGTGCAGCTTTTAGTGCAATCAGTTCAGCCTGAAAAACTGAGTTGTGGTGTTGAAAAGTTGAATATTTCAACTAATTTGGATTCATAATAATGCATAGAGCTATCAGCAAGAATAGGATTGAAAGGGCTTCCCATGTCTAATCACTTGATTTGGTCGTAATACTTATTTTCAAAAACAGAATGTGTGTATTTCAAGCAAAGTTGAGTAAGGTAAATTAAATCATAAATTTCAAGTGAATTTAATGACACTATCTTGCTTTAAGAGGTTATAAGTGTTCTGTAGCCTTTATTTATTTATTTATTTCAAATCGATCGGCTGTAAAATTGGACATATTTTTACAGTAATTATATTTTGCTTCGTTTTTTTCTTCTATTTATAAAAGTCGTAATTCCATGCTTAAAGATCCCATGTCGGATATGAATTCCAGGGTTATGTACGGTGGTTTAATGTATACTGGACACAGACACAGACTTGAAATTTTTCACAGAGGAGGATGAGAAATATGTTAAGGGGAAAAAAAATACAGACTGCTCTGTTACTCAATGCTATTAATAAGAAGTCACATTTTCCATTTTTCTGAAACCAAAATTGTTCAAAGAAATCTTCCGTAGGTGATTTAGATTTCCTAGAGGCATTTCACATTCATAAAAACCAGTCAGTTATAGTTAATGATCCAAATTCTAATTTGTGTTTACCTTCAGCTTTGAAGGAAATTATTTCATAGTTGTTTTCACTTTTTATCAATAGATGGCATCAGTAGCTTTGTTTGCTTGCTTAATTGGAACTTTCTGAAATTTTTGGTCAGTTATCACGGGAACTTGCGCTTCGTCATTTTATCTCCTGCAGCTGAAGACTGCTCTATTCAAACCTTTCAACACTAATCCTGCAAATTTATACAACATACACTGATTCTTGTTGCCTTAAATCTTCAATATTAGTATCAGATTTGTTTCAAATCTATTTAAGTTTAATAACATGTTCATTTGAAATAGTTGTCATTCACTTACTTGATCATGTATCATTTATAGCACTGATAATTGTAAGTCAAAACATTCCATGTTTAAAAATATCATCTGCCAATGTTGCCAATTAGAGATATCTATGAAAAATACTTGAATAAATAATTTTCTCATATTTTATTTAATAACTCAATTTATTTCAGTTACGTCTTGAGTAGAATTAACTTCTGAAAAACTTTTCTATGAGTAGTATAGGATTAAATGCTCTAAATGTGTTTTTATGACTCTCTTCTGATTTCTTTAAAATTTCTTGGTAAGAGAAATCAGGGAAATAAAAAATAACAAGGCTCTGAATTTGAAATAATTACTTTTGTATTATGTATTACTGGTATATTACTAAGTAACTCTCTGGAAATTAGGCCCACCAGCGGCCGAGCGGTAAAGTTGCTGAACACTGGTAGTTCGGTCCGAGGTTCGAATCCCGTGAACGGGCTAGCTGCCTGGGCGTTTTGTGGTTTTCCCCATGTTAACGTGTATACGAGCCAGTTTCCCTTAGAAAGTCCTCAACGAAGGCATCCCTCCTCTTAGGCAGATAGCCTTCGAGGCTTTGCCATAATCACACACACACACTCTCTGGAAATTACATTATCAAAAAGTTTAGTATTCCATCTAAAAATAAAATACAAGCTGTCATATTTAGAGCACATTGAATTTTGTTTATATATGGTGTTAGTAACCATCATTTCAGTCTGTGAATAAGTATTCACCACAAAATTTTCCTTCTTCTTACATCTTGTCTAGCTTTCTATAGAGTGCTACCATTATACAAGTAACTTCTCAGGCAATAATACTAACTTGGAACTGAAGACTCTGAAATAATCTACTGAGATTGGCAAGTTAGCCTGATACTGTTTAATTGTTAGCTTGCAGTATAAGACTTGATGTCTAATGTAAACTTTGTTAGCCATGACTTGTGGTGAAATACAACTAAAATAGAAACTGTATACTTCTTGGCAATTTATAATATAGCTTCCAAGACATAAGAAACACATAAATAACATTGAGACATAAGAAATTGGCATAAAATTGTTAGTAAAACTTAAAACATGAATGTGATAACATTTATAAAACTGTATTTTAAACATATCTAGTCTAGTAGTATCCCTGTATTTGTGGGTAATGCATTCTGACTTTCTGTGAATAATAATGGATGCTGGTAAAATATTGATGAATTACTCACTAAAAAGTATTAACAAGGTTTAATTAAGTATACTGTAAACTATACTACATTACATACTATATTAGTAAATAAAGTATTGCAAAATATACTATACATTGTTCTCTCTTATGTTTAAAAGCAAAGGATAACCTTATCTGCAAACTTTGAGTATAAAATAAAAAAAAATGCAGTGTCTGTATTGTAGAGCAGAATTTATTACTATCAAAAATTGAAATAAATAAAATTTATTTTCCATGTGCCAACAACATGCTGCTATTAGCATTATGTAGAGCCATTATTACAGTTAATATGAAATTTTTAAGCACAAAAAGCTGCAATAACACAGTGCTAATGAGAGTAGAAAGAATACTGAAAGCAGTAAAATCAAATCTATGATAATTGGTCTAATTGGTAATAAAACAAGTGATTGAGAATTACATCCAATGTAAGGAGGGAGGCCTTCATTCTGAAGGATAGTAGGATCATATTACATATGTGCGAAGATGACTAAAATTCACATGCAGTCAACCCATTCACCTGGATTCAAACTTGGCTTATGAGAGTCGTCCAAAAAGCAATTTTCCAACATTGTCAAAAGATGGCGTTGCAAAAGTACCGAAATGCAAAGGCACAATCTGAGTAGTTTGTGGGTGCCTCTATCGTATGCAGCAGTTGTAATTTCCTGATCACTTACATTAACATCGTATGCAAAGGTGTTGGCTCTTATTTATTCTCCCACTGACTGAGAGATGAGGTCTGTGCTAAAGTTATTGATTGCACAGAAGGTAGTGTCAATTGAAATCCATCATCAGTTGTGTTTATTGTGTTTAGTGTATGGACCAGATGTGATGAGAAAGCAGATGGTTCATTGCTGGTGTCTTGACTTTTCCAAAGGTAGATGATTTGCAAAAGTCCATGATGAATAATGCTGCAGCCAGCCATCCTTCATTGATGACTGCCTTTTGGAGCAGATGTGGCAGTACATTCTGCAGAATCCTCGCTTTACAGTTCTGGCCATTTCCCATGGATATCATGAACTGTCATGCATGAAATCGTCACAAAACACTCGCTGTTCTGAAAATTGTGTGCCAGGTGGGTACCAAAGAACCTTACACTTGAACAATAAACAAACCAAGGAGCAACATTGACTTTTCTGTAGTGATACCATAATGAAGGCAATGAGTTATGGGTTAGGATCCTTACGGGTGGGTTGCTTATTTCATCCCAGAAACAAAATAACAGTTAGTGCATTGCAGTCACAGTAGATGCCCATGCTGGACTAAATTCAAGCAGAATGTATCCATCTGGAAATTGATGTGTGTAATCTTCTGGGACAGGAAAGGCGTTCCGCTCGTTGTCTTCTTGTCGAGGGTGCTATGATGAATTCTGAAATTTACTCTGCAACACTAGAGAACTTGTGTAGAGCCATTCAGAACTAGAGATTTGGCATGCTCAGTTCTAGTGTTGTGTTGCTCTATGACAACGCTTCGAGAGAATTCCACAAAAAAATCGGCTGCAGAAGTTTCTCTGGGGAGGTGATTGGTCATGCACCATATAATCCCAGTTTTGCTTTCAGCGGCTTCCATCTGGTCTTACACCTGAAGAAATTACTGTTCAGACGAAGATGTGCAGATAACTGTGACTTGCTGGCTCCATTCCCAATAAAAATAATTCCAGGTAATTATGTTTTATTTCATTTTATGTGCCGTGGGAAACTTAACTTTCCAAATGACCCTTGTATTAAGCTACTGTTAGGCTGGGAATCAAATTTAACATCTGGAAAAAAAAAAGGGGGGGTGTTTTTACTTGTGAAGATAGCACTTATAGTAAGTAGTTTATTTCACTATGTTACGCACTATTGGCATGCTGAAATTTAGTCCATTTTTTAGTTATTTTTTTATCTGAAGCTATAAACCACAGATACTGAAACAGTGGATATAGGAGCACAATTATAATTCCTTAATAATGAACAATTATTTTTCAGGCTCGAGAACCAGAGTTTGATGTTATTCGCAACATGATGTATGAACTTATTGACTGGCGTCGAAAGATCATGTCTGGCACTTTGCCTGTGGTAAGAAAATTTTTGAAGTTTGAATTAATAATAAAATAAAATTTATTTTTCTGTAATATACAGGGTGCAGCAAAAAGGTAGGCAGGATTTCAAATAGTGGTTGCTCGGTTTGTAAAACCGGCAACACTGTGCACGTGGTCGCGTTAGGGAGACAAAAGTATGTAATTTGTGAGTTATCAATATGGCTTGGAGCGGAGTGCATTGTGCTTTTGTTGTCGAGGAGTTTAGTAGAAATGGAGAGTCTGTAATAGCGACGCAGCATGCTTTCCGTAATCAGATTGATGTGGGTCGGCATGGCGCGGTTCCGGATGGAAGAACAATTCCGTCGGTGGGTTTTACACTTCAGGAAAACAGGTTCTGCACTTAAATGAAAATCTACTGCCTGACCAAGGACAGTAAGAACACTGGAAAATGGGAATGCAGTAAGAGTTTCCATACAGTAGTCTTCAAGATGTTCAGCTCGTAAGCATGCAGCTGTTTTGGGAATTTCTGATAGAAGTGTTCCAAGAATTTTACACAGCTCACTCCAAATGCATCCGTATAAAATGATGGTAGTGCAGGAATTAAGTGAAAGAGATTTTGAAACTTGTACAAATTCATGCCGGGATATTCTTCAAAACATTCCCCAAGGCGTATTCATTTTCTAGCGATGAAGCTCACTTTCGCCTATTGGATACTGTAAATAAGCAACATTTCCGTTATTGGTCAGCAAATAATCCACAGGAACTTAATGAGTGACCACTTCACAGTCCAAATGTTACCGCCTGGTGTGCAATATCTGAGTTCGGCGTATGGGGTCCTTACTTTTTCGAAGAACAGTAACAGTCAGCGGAGATTGATATTTTGATATGCTTAACAATTTCCTGTGTCCAAAAGTTAACAAGTTGAACGATAATTACCGAGAACATCTTTGGTTCCAGCAGGATGGTGCTACATAGCACACCATGCATCGTTCACTTAATCTTCTTAAAGAAATGTTCCCAAACAAAGTGGTGTCTTTATGGGGTTTGCCCGATTTGTCGTCTTGCGACTTTGTTCTTTGGGATTACCTCAAATCGAGAGTTTTTACACATCGTCTGCGGGCTTTGGAAGAATTAAAGACAGCTAAAAGACGAGAAATTACCGCAATTCCCCAAGAAATGATTCATCGAGTAATGGCGCACTTCCGTAAGAACCTACAATAGTGCATTGACAATAATGGCCGTCATTTAAAAGATATTTTAAAAAAATATCGTTCCTAAATGGCATGAAATGTAGATTTCAAAAAGAAATTAAAAAAAAATTTTGCTTTATGTGGTTTGCTTTTTATTCACATCCCAAATAGTACCTATCACTTTGCTGCACCTTGTATGTTGACTTGAAGTTCAAAACTAAGGTTTCAGTAAAAAGTTTTGGGAATCATAGAACCATTTTAAAAATTTTATTTGTATGCGAATGTAATCAATTTTTAAATCTTTAGAATAATATTATGTATAACAAAGAATCAGCTAGTATTCTAAATATTTATATACTAATAGAAGATGCACAAATAGTATTGTAAACACTTTATCATTTCTGAATGTACTTCTGTTTTGTGTTCCACTGCATTTAAATTAAAATTTTGTGCAATATCTAATATCTAGATGATCTAAAATCTGGACCTTCAGCAACCTTTTTTTTGGGGGGAAGGGCTTCATGTATGTACATTTAATATTTTTTCATGCTACGTGTGGAGAGTCCTGATTCTGAGTTTCATTTGAACACTAAATAAAATACCTCTGCATGGAGAAGTAATCATTTATTAGCATAAATCCAACCTAGTGACTCGTTATTTATTATTTTTTGTTTTCATCACTGCCTGACTATCAACGCACCACAGTTTGAGAAATGACAGGATTGCCACACTGTCTAGAAAACTGGGAAAAGTCAGAGAAATTGAAAGTGGCCCAAAAGAGTCGGGGAATTTAAATATTTTAGTAAAAATCTGTAAAAGTAGGGGAATTTCATGTAGGGATTCCTCCAAAAAACTGGTTTTTACACCAACATTGGAAGCAATCATGTTTTTGGTAAATTTTGTGTCTCGTTAGCGTCATTCAGGCAGCTAGTGTAGAGCCTATTTTTGCACCGCCGATCAGATTGTCTTTCAGAAAGGCAAAGCAAGTTTTCAGCATCTTTGTTTCTAATAGCCTCCTGAAAATGTTACGATATGCCAGATCTGCTCGTGGTGCATGCCATCAAGCACTTGAAGGCAAAAAGTGTGATAGAAAACATAAAAAATATTTTTGGACAAAAGGAAAGTACAAGCACAGATAAAAATTTTGGAGTCAAAAAAAAAAAAACAAAAAAAAAAAAAAAAAAAAAATGAACACAGGTGTGTTTCTTCATTTGACTTACAAATTGCAGACTTAAAACAGGAAATTTAGTTTTCTGCTGATTTTTCATTAGTATTTTTTCTATTAAAGTTTTGTTTATATATTCTAAATGTCTTTATTTTTTGTCTTGAATTATAATAAAAAATTACATTTAATTTGTATTATGTATGATTATATTAAAAGTTTTTCATCAAATGTCTGTTGACTTCTTTAAAAAAGTAGTTTTTTCACCTTTCAGATTTGAGCAAGTTTTGTTTGGTGCTTGTTTGGCAATTATATATTATTTAATACGATATATATAATTGGCCCCCTCCATTGCCATTTTGTGAACAACGACTTCCATTCCAGAATTTATTTGTAACACTTTTTAAAACAATCATTCAGGACATAATTTTATCACAATTAGAAGTGGAGAAAATCTTATGTTTAAAAGTTCATACATTGCATTGAAAAATCAACAGATTTCATTTCTGATTTTGTTTATTACTTAGATAGAATGTATTGTAGGTATTTAATTTCTTTTGCAAATGAAAGTTATTAAGGAAAACAACTTTTATAGTCATAATAATAATGCCTTGGTGATTATATATATGAAATAGTAGCAAGGAAATGACGGAGCAGTGTTGATGCGTACGTAGATCCATATTGAAGAGGGAGAATTCTGATTGCGTTGTATGTTAATAATGTTGACTTCTTAATATCTAAAAAATTTGGCAGTCGAGGCGGTTTTAATTCCATTTTTATTTTCCTGTTGATGTTTGTGGCCACAGTTCACTTGGCATTCTAGTTGTGCCTATTCAAGAACATTTACAATTTTGATATTGTTGCAATAGGTACAGAGCAGAATGAAACAGTGTCTAAGCAGCACAAAGGCAAAAGCTGAAATGCTTAGTTATGCAATATAAAAGGACACGAAGAGAAAGATTTTGGTTTGAGTGTAAAGTTTCAGTTCCCAATTATTATGTCATCAGCATTGCACAGGCCATGCAAAATGGAATGATTTAGAAATGATGCAATCCAGAGAAGTTATTATGATTTTTAGAACAGAGAGGAGAATTTAAGAGTTTACCGTTAGTTTAAATTATAATTTTGGTTCACATATTTTTTATCTTGCATAGTATGTAAGAAAAATCAAGAATATATTATGTTAAATTAGCAGTGTAAATTAATTCCATTCTGTATTGTAAAAATAGTAACCTCTATTTGCACTGTGTCATTTCAAGAAAAATCGATGTCATTTGACTCTTACATAACTCTGATGATGTAAATAGAACTAAAACAGCCAATAGTAATTTTACAGCAATATTAACTATCCGATCAAAATGCATTGAGAACCAAAACTAACTCAGTCTGAGTTAAGATTTCACCCTGAACATAATGCCTGTTTACCTATGTTAAACATCAGGCGTCCTCGTCCTCCGTCACCTGAACATAATGCACTTGCTTTCTATGCTTTGGCCTAGCTGCACTGCTGTCTGTCTGCTCTTTCTTTCTTAGCAAAAATGTAAACTTTTCAGTGTAGGCACAATTAATGTGCCAACTTGATTGTGGCAACAACATGTTGGCTGAAATAAAAAAGGAAGATTTAATCTGCCTTCGCCTCCCAATTCCCTATTCATTATGGATCAACACCTCTACACCATCAAAATTCATGCTAGTCTTCACTTCTGACTTTGTTTTTATCCTATATATATAATTACGTTCTGTTTTTTATAACAGTATTTTTGATTATTTTGAATAAATATGTCTGATAGCAAGTTAGATGACTACTTTCCATCATCTTTAGGATCAGACTCATTGGAAGATGATATTTTATTAGATGAAGATAATGATGAAATTCCTTACAAGATCCATGATATTGGACTTTTGTAAATATGAAAATTCATGCTATGCAGCTTCTGTGCTTTCTATTTTGGGAATAACTGTTTTGCAGAACAATGTATTAGCCAACATCCTGTGAAAGAGAAATCTATCACAAAGTTAGTGTTCAACCAATTTGGAAGAAATGTAAGTTTCCTTAGGCCTGCTTATTTTGCAGAGGATAGCTCTAAAACCTGATATTGAACTAAGAATATATTGGTTGAAAGTCCAGTTTTTGGGAAAATTGTTTCTTGAAATTTTTTCCAATTGATCATGAAGTTAATACACTTCTCTGCTAGTAAATTGAATGAAAATTTATATCTAAATGCAAAACTAAGAAAAATATGGTCCGTTTTCCTGACTTGATGAAGAAATTTTTAAGTGTTTGTACACCGGAAAGGGATTTCTGCATTTATGAGAGTTTGATGCTATTCAGAAGCAGACTATCATGGATACGATACATACCTTTGAAAAGAACTTGCTTTTTGAAGCAAAGGTATTTGTACTTACTGAAGCAAAGTCAGAATATGTTTACAATGCAACTATGTATACAGGAAAAGTACTATATTTGATGAAAAATTTGGAAATTGTGGACCTGCTACAAAATTAATGATATCGCTTATTGAATCTTTTTGGGGAAACGTTTTTTGTACAATTGCTGACAAATTTGATCTGTTTCTGGAATTAGTAGACATTTTATGCCAGAACAATTTTATGCCTTATTTTAGACATGGTTGTTTGGAAAGCCTTCACTTTACACAATAAATAATTTCCAAGCATTGGCAGTTA